CTCACTGACGATGCCGACTACGATGCCGGCGAAATGCTTGAAATGTACCACGTCCACGGTCCTACTCTGGAAATGATGATGCATACAATTAACTCTGGACTAGGCGCGCTCTTCTAAGTCTTCCTACCAATATGACCGAGTTGCGAAAAGAAGGTCAGACAACTTCTAAACAACGAAAAGAGCCTGCGACCACACAAAAGGCCACACCATCTTGGTCTTCATACCTTTGATCAAATCAAGAAAGATGAATTCTCCATAAATGATGGTTGTCGGCCTATTAAGGACGAATTCATCAAAGTCGTAGGACGGTGAGCCGATGTCTTCTTCGCAATTATTTTTCGGTGTTCGGTGAAACCAATTTACGAATCCCTTTACTCGCTTTGTCAAATAAAACGAAAGTTCTTTAAGCATTTATTCAAGGTATTTTGCAATGGAACTATTTTTATATAATGTAGTCCACTAGATAGTTCATAAGGCTAAAGGGTAACAGCGGTGTGTTTTCACGAAAGTAAACTAGCTCTTGATGCGAACCAAGTGGGGCTCATTTTTGCATGGCGAAAATAGTTAAATTTCTTTACAAAAGTGCCGATAAATAAAGTTCCTTTATAAGTCTATCCTCTCAACTGTATTTTCACCTGCAACCTCCACTGTTTGTCATTGGTTGCTGTCTCGCAAGGCATATTTGGAGTGGATTGCGGTAACCACGCCAACCGGAGGTCGTGCTGAGATGTCCAGGCTGCAGCTGGTCGGCTTTCGTCGCATTTCCCTGGCGGCTGGCCAATCAATCACGGTGAGCTTTCTGCTACAGCCTGACATTCACCTCACCGTCTTCGGCCCAGACGAGCCGGTACATACCAAACTCTCTCGGACAGAAGAACTGCCTTCAAGCCCTCATCAAAGTGGTCGTCAACATTCGCCGGCCCAGTTGGTTAATTCCTCCAAACTGGATGCGGTAGTACAGCCTGACACGTACTATGCCAAAAAGATGCTATTGGACAACTCGACAATTGACACGGTTCCCTGGTTGGCACAAATGGGCAAACGTGTTGCTGATCCGTCAGCAACGGGCAAACTGGTCTGGGGACTGGGAACGATGCGGATCAGTATTGGCGCTGGACAACCGGGTTATGCAGGTGCAAATGTATTGAGTGGTGACGTCAAAACCGTCATAGGCCTGGGTGACGAAGTCTGGCCAGTCTAAATAAGTCGGAGCTAGATCAGTTTCTCCCCATGTCAATCTAAAGTTTTGAGGCGTCAACCAGACAATATTTAACATTCCTTAAAAATTAAATTAATCTGTTCAATCAACGATGAGATGAAAGACTTACAAATAAATCTTTATTTCTATTCCTTATTCAGATTTGCTCATCTTTTTGCCATTTTTACTTGTCAATATTAAACCTAAACTAGTGAAGACAACTTGACTAGCATTCACTCTCAAACTATACATTTATGAGTGAGCTGACTTCAAGGTAAAAAGGCTTTAAAGTAAAGGATACGAAGAGTAACTGGGCTTACTTCCATTTCGGGTGAATGTGTTTGGTGAAGTCATTCGAAGGTCGATCCCACCAGAAGGCGATGGCGGATTCCTATTGGCCAATTGTCGATTGGCTTTACTAGAAGATTCATGCTGACGCTGTTTCTGAAGCAATCTCCTTCGATTCCGGTGAAAAGGGGCTAGGCTTTCGTCCGTCATATGACATCGTCACAACAAAATTCAAGTTTACGAGTCATAAAAACTCACCGGCACATCCCTAGAGAGCTATATATATATATATATATAATCTATAAATGGCCTCTTTGATGAGGTACCGTGCTAAAGCTCAGC